GCTAAAAGCTCTTGCACAAAGTATCGTGCCTTGATGAGAGCCAGGTCTGAGGAGAAATTTCTCTATTTCTGTAGACGTGCAGTGGTGGATGAGACTGCATCTGAGTTTCCTGGGTTTATTTTTAGTGTGCACAGTTTTTCTTTTCTTCTTTTAAGTGGAGCAGGTCTGAAGCAGCTTCATAGAAAGGTATGAAAAAAATCTTCCTTTCAGGCCAGGCTACCCACAGTTTTTAAAAGAAGCGAGCTGTGAATAGCMTTGCTTGGGCAAGCTGGTGACCCTTTAAGTTAGCACTGGCTGTCTTGGGCGCTTGCATATCATATCTAAGAAAGCTAAAACTGGTTTTAGTTTTTTGAAAAGACATCAAATGAAGCAGCKTTACTTCTGTTACTTTGCTAACGGTAGTTTTCTGTTTGAGCTTGCAGTTTCTCTACCTGTAAAACAGCAGATGATAATACAGAAAAAAAGTGAAGCAAGTCGGTCTACTTGTAGCCCCTGCCCAGGCGTGCAAGTAGTAACTGCACGGCTCAAGTGAGGGTCAGTGGCGTGGCTTTGACCATGGAAATGATTCTCCCTACGTGGACGTTTTCTTGCCTTGGCATCAGGCTTTATTGAGACTCTGAGGATTATTTACTGACAAATTATGCCTATGAGTTGCTTGTGCTCCAGTTCTGACCTGGATTTTTATTGCTTTTTGCTTAGAGTTTGAGTGCAGCGACTGTTGCTCAGGGCAGGCTGGTTTTAAGATGATCCAGGGAGCAAAAGTAAAAATGCTAATGCATTTGTACAGGCTGTGACCAGAAATGGCCACAGATACTTGTATATCTCTGTTATTTGCACAGCATTTAGTAGATAAGTCTATTTTAATCCAAAGGCTGGACACTCCATAAAACAATCAGCTGTTCCACGTACATTTGGGGCCTATGCAAAGTGCTGTCTGAATGTTTGTCCCCTGCCTGTAGCTGCATTTTCTTTCCTGATGAGCACGCTAGGAAGTGCRAAGTCCCTGCCAGATCCCTGGGAAYGCGCTGCGTTCGGAGCTGCCCGAGCCTCCTGTGTGCAGATGGGTCACAGCGCTCAGCCCGAATCCCAAGGAAACGTAACGAAGCACAAAGGCCTYGCTTGCCTCCCACGGAATTAAGGGATGCTGCTTTGGTTTGCTCTTTCACGGGCTCCTCAGTAAGAATCAAGCCCGTCCCCAAGGTGTTTTGCTGTTGGGCTGCCTGGTTCTGCGCTGGCCGCGTGTAAAACCGCGCGGCCGCGTTGGTGTCGCGCGGGGAAACGTGGGCAGCCGCCCGCGCCTGTCCCRTCGGCAATAACGAGGACGGAGAGGTGGGAGGGTTTGTGCTGACCTGAAAAACTCAGCACGGTGCGGGGCGGAAAATCATTTCTCAGGGGGATCTGGGTGCGGGAGGGCTGATGCTCCCCGCTAACCAGGAGCGGTTGGGCGACCTCGCGTGCGCAGGGTGYGTTGGAAGGGGCTCGTGGCCGTTGGCTGCATTTGGTGGTCTCGTAATGCGGGAGCACCGCCTTTGAGGAGCTCCCGTGTAGCAAAGTTATCCCATAAGGACGTTGATGAAACAAGATACAAAATCTGCAATGTAGATGCACTTAAAAATGAGCACACGTGGAGAATGTGCCTTGAAAGACTCTGAAATGACTTCAGATGTTGCACAAATAATTCCGAGATATGGATAAGAGGACCCACTGTGTCTCTGTATTCATGACTTGTGCTTTAGAGATTTAATAAATGAGGCTCTTTCTTTCTCAGCCACGAGAGCTTGCAGTGTGCTTGCTTTGTTCCTGCAGGCTTGAGGACCAACTTTGATWGCCGGCATGTCAGGGAGGAAACAGAGATGTTGGAGCAGAAAGGAACAGCTTGGCCCAGCAACTGGATTTTGCGGTCTAATGCGTGGATGTGCTTAGATGGCCGTAAAGCAACGGGCTGTAAATACTCGAGGAGAGTCATGGAGCTTTAGTGRCAGAGGTGGCTCTGCCTGGAGTGAGAGCCTCAGTGTGCTTGGCTTGGGCCAGAGCCTGCTCTTTGCTCTTCGGAACTGAAACTCTGAACAAATGATGCAGATATAGATGTGTAATATCTATATGTATACATATATGTGTGTGTGTGTGAGCACACGCTGTAAATGTGTAATTTTTGTGGAGTACTTTTGGGGGAACTTTGCCCCTGTGTGATGGGCATGGGACTCAGTAGCTCGTATGCCGTTCTTCTGCGTTCCTGCATGTGGAGGAGTATGTGAACATGTATTTTTAAATCCTTCCAGTAAAATTTTAATCAAATAAATGTGGTTTTTTTTTYCCCGTGAATCCAGGAGACTTTGAAGGCTTTGTCGTTGTCTCCATGTATTTTATTAATAAGACTTAGCTATTGAACTATTCTTGGTGGGTTTGCTGAGAGTCTAAATGCTCTACAGTGCCATTTTTGTTAGGAGAAATGATTATTATGGAAATTGCAGTTGTCTTATGTTTATAGTGCCCCGATGACAGGAAGTATATCATAAGTCTTTGGGTATCAGTGCTAGACACCCAAAGGGTGTCTTAGAAGGATTTCCACTTGTCCTGCTCCTGTTCYGTAATATAATTAAATGACACTTCTTGAGTAGAGGAATGAATATAATCGTTGATCAGAGAGGTTATGGTGTAACTCAAAGCAGGCTTCCTGGAGCCTTGTTTGGGCTGTGCCAAGGCAGTTTTGTGACAACAGTACTTAAAAAAGGAGCCCGAGGCTCACGATTCTTAATGTGAGGATGATGCAAAGCACGTTGCTGATAGGGAGTGAGTTCAGCTTCCATAGCACGTGAACATTGCTGATGGCAGAGTCAGAAGCTGCTTTCATCCCTTTTTTTCCTCTTTGCTTTTATTTTTTCCCCTCCCTTTTGTATGCCTTGGTCTGAAGACTGAAAATGGGGCAAAACAAAATTTGCGTTAGCTGGGCAAATTTGGGAACAGGAGCTTCTTGACTGACGTAAGATAGAAGGAAATAATTCAGAAAGGTGTATTTATTTTTTCCCTTAAGAAACTCAAATTTGGACTGGTCAGCACTGTTTGCTTTTCATGAGTATTATTCATCCATATGTGTAGTCTTTAAAATGTTAGGAAAAGAAAGTAAATTTTAGCATCATGCTGAATGTGCTGATATTCTTTTAAAGGCCATACTGTCAGGTTAAAGCTAGAGCAGAGCTGATTTCCTGGAAGAAGAGTCAGAAGCAGAAGAATCAACAACTGAAGGTTGCCTTCAGTAACGTTCTTCTGGATGTCAAACTGCATGCACTTAGACCCCAACACAAATTTTATGTCTTTCTGCGTCAGCAAGGGGTGATGAAGATGGGCACCAGAATGTCTTTTGTGCACAAGTTCCCAAAGGAGCAGAAACTCAAATATAAATAGTCCTCTTCTGAAAAAGGCCCCAGTGATGGAGCTCTGTTGAGGAAGAGCCTTCTGTAGATAAGATGCTCCTTGATAAAATCCTGAGAGGCAGTTGGAAGAAGAATATAATGCCATGTGTAGTCTGCATCTTATTATCCACATGTCTGTTTCCTTGGTGCTCTTTGGTGATCTTCTCCTTGAATAATTCTAAGTGCAGAAACAGACTTGAATTCTAAGTGGGTTCAGTTGAATGTGACGAGCAAAAAGGATCACTAAATGAGAAAACATAATGCAGGCAAGTCTTCTAGGAAGCTTCTAATCTGAGGAGCCAGGATTTTGTTCCTCAGGAAAGTGCAAGTGTGGCATTAACACTTAGCTAAAGCAGGAGGAGTCTCTCCAGGAAGGGATAGCTGCAAGGTAGTGCTTTATTTAGGGGCATCCTGTGGACTTGCAGCACTGGAGAACAGTAACAGAGCTTTCAAAACCAGTAAGTTTTTTGACATCTGCTTATTGGCTTTGTCTTTTTATATTTCTGGTTTTGGAAATAGCAAAAAGAAAAAAAGTATATACATAGACATTACATTTTCTCAGTGCCTCTAGTGATGTGTGAGGCTCTTAGTGAAGGACTAGCCAGGGTCTGCAAACAGTCCTGCAGCTTGGTTGGATCCTTGAGGATGAGTGACGAGTTCCCCATCCGAAATAGAATATTGAGGTGTATGGGAGAACCTTTCTGGAGTGCATTTCCTTAGGAGTTCATTTTGTAAATCCAAATAGTCATACATGTAAATCCAAATAGTCATACATAGCATACTACATGCTCTTGCAGAAAGTGTGCTCTGGCTTTTCTGACCAACGTTTTCAGTTAAGGTTTATTGGAGGCAATATGAAAGTCCAGAGGGAGTAAAGCTGTAGATCCCTTTGTGCAACTAGAGAGGACTCCTCTTGATTTTCCCATCTTCTGGAATGAAGCCTAAGTGGGAAAAAATCTCTCTCCTTGTCCTGGTGTGTTGGTTTTCACCTAAGTGTCGCCGGGTGGTGGAGCCGAGCGTGGAACGGTTGGGTTTGGGCACGCAGGTGTCGGTGCTCTCAGCCTCCCGTAGAGCCTTTGCCGGGTGTCCTCGTGCGGCCGTCGGCCGATTGCATCTCAAGTGTTTCCCAAGTGAAACGTGGGCCAGTGGATGTTGTTCTGCTGTAGATCCGAGGATGCTTTGAGGATGACTACCTCATTCGAGCTCGTRGCAAATTATTCCCAGTATTGTTGTAGAGAATAGTTCAGGGACGATGGTGGTTCTSCTGCTTTGCCTAGCAAAATACTGCTGAAAGTTTGTTTCCTCTGAGGCACAAAACCTGACCCAGTTAGTGGCTGCAGAGAAAGACTGATACTGAAAAAGTGGTCCCACTGGTGGTAGGTTATGAGCTCGGTTGGTCTCGGAAATGATTCCTCCTATTTGCACAGCTTAGGAGGTGCAAACAAGCACAAGCCAAGGGGCTAGGCCTCCGAACTGTGCTAGAAGTTAGGGGGCAAGCCCTGAGCCTTAATTGCTGCTGTTAGTGCTGCTCGCGTGCCTGGGAGACGTGAATGCTACAGCTTCTCTTCTCTTTCTCTCCCACCGCTCTAGGAGGGCTTCCAGGCCGGCGCTGTGCTGCTGAGCAGCATGCAGTCCTTTCGGGAGCAAAGTAGTTACCACGGCAGCCAGCAGAGCTTCCCGCAGGAAGTGCACGGCTCATCCCGCCTGGAGGAGTTCAGCCCCCGCCAGCAGGCCCAGATGTTCCAGAGCTTCGGAGGAAGTGCCGCCAGTGGACGTCGCGGAGCAGCAGGAGCCTCTACAGCGATGCCTGGTGAGAGCTCTGGCCATCAGAGCTACCAAGGTTTCAGAAAAGAAGCAGGAGAGTTTTACTATATGGCTGCCAACAAAGATCCAGTGGCCTCAGGAGGGCAGCAGCCGCCTCAGCGCAGGCCTTCCGGACCGGTACAGAGCTATGGGCCCCCTCAAGGGAGTAGCTTTGGGAGTCAGTATGGGAGCGAGGGACACGTGGGCCAGTTTCAAGCGCAGCACTCCAGCCTCGGGGGTGTATCCCACTACCAGCAGGATTACACTGGCCCTTTCTCTCCGGGGAGTGCCCAGTACCAGCAGCCGGCCTCTAGCCAGCAGCAGCAGGTGCAGCAGCTGAGGCAGCAGATCTATCAGTCGCACCAGCCTCTGCCCCAGGCTTCCAGCCAGTCTGCTTCCAGCACCTCGCACCTGCAGCCCATGCAGCGGCCGTCCACCCTGCCTTCCTCGGCTTCTGGCTACCAGTTACGAGTGGGGCAGTTCGGCCAACACTATCAGCCCACTTCGTCCTCCTCCTCCTCCTCTTTCCCTTCCCCGCAGCGTTTTGGCCAGGCGGGACAGAACTACGACGGCAGTTACAGTGTGAATTCGGGATCGCAGTACGAAGGCCACGCGGTGGGTTCCAACGCGCAGGCGTACGGGGCCCAGTCCAACTACAGCTTTCAGGCACAGCCGATGAAAAGCTTTGAGCAGTCAAAGCTCCCCCAGAGTGGACAGCTGGGGCAGCAGCAGCAGCAACAGCAGCAGCAGCACCCGCCTCAGCAGGTAATGCAGTACTCAAATGCTGCCACCAAGCTCTCTCTTCAGAGTCAAGTGGGACAGTACAGCCAAGCTGAAGTTCCTGTAAGATCACCAATGCAGTTCCACCAGAACTTCAGTCCAATTTCTAACCCATCTCCTGCTGCATCTGTAGTTCAGTCTCCAAGTTGCAGCTCTACCCCTTCTCCTCTCATGCCCGGTGGAGAAAATCTCCAGTGTGGGCAAGGCAACATGTCTATGGGTTCCAGAAACCGAATCCTGCAGATGATGCCCCAGCTTAGCCCCACACCATCTATGATGCCAAGCCCCAATGCTCATGCAGGGGGATTCAAGGGCTTTGGGCTGGAAGGACTGCAGGAGAAACGGCTCACRGACCCAGGGCTGAGCAGCTTAAGCGCTCTAAGCTCTCAGGTGGCCAATCTGCCCAACACTGTCCAGCACATGTTGCTCTCGGATGCCTTGGCTCCTCAGAAAAAAGGTTCCAAAAGGTCGTCCTCTTCAAAGAAGGCCGACAGCTGCACAAACTCGGAGGGCTCCTCCCAGGCAGAGGAGCAGCTAAAGTCTCCCTTGGCAGAGTCCCTCGATGGTGGCTGTTCCAGCAGTTCAGAGGATCACGGGGAGCGGGTGAGGCAGCTGAGTGGCCAGAGCACCAGCTCAGACACCACCTACAAAGGGGGTAACTTAGAGAGACCCAACTCCTCACCAGCAGCACAAGGCTCTCAGAACGAGCCATCAAAGCTCAGCACCAGCCCTGCAGCTAGGGAAGATGCCGCCTCCCCTGATGGGAAGGAAGCTGTGGTAGCAGTGGAAGCCACTCCAAAAGTGAACGAAAAGGCAGTTGGGGTGATCGTCTCTCGGGAAGCCATGGCGGGAAGGGTAGAAAAGTCAGGTGGGCAAGATAAACCTGCACAAGATGATGTTTCCACAGCCACCCAGGCACCAGCTAGTGCTAGTGCAGCGAAAGAAGCTGGGCACACGGGGCCACAGACAGAAGCTCAAGGAGGGAGTAAAGGGAGCAAAAGTGGAGATAACACTAACCATAATGGAGAGGGGAACAGCCAACCTGGCCACACAGCTGTTGGGTCAAATTTTCCTGTGAGAACAGAACCTTCCAAGTCTCCTGGCAGTTTGAGATACAGTTATAAGGATAATATAGCAGCTGGTTTACAGAGAAACATAGGTGGCTTTCCACAGTACCCTTCTGGTCAAGAAAAGGGGGATTTTCCAGGGCACAGTGAGCGCAAAGGCCGGAATGAGAAGTTTCCCAGCCTCCTGCAGGAGGTCTTACAGGGTTATCACCATCATCCGGACCGACGTTATTCTAGGAATGCACAGGAACATGCTGGGATGGCTGGGAGTCTGGAGGGAGCGATGAGGCCCAACATCTTAATTAGCCAAACCAATGAGTTGGCCAATAGGAGCCTCCTAAACAAAAGCATGGGGTCTCTCCTCGAAGGCCCTCACTGGGGTCCCTGGGATAGGAAATCAAGCGGTGCAGCTCCTGACATGAAGCAGCTCAATCTAGCCGATTACCCCCTCGCTAGAAAGTTTGAGGTAGAGTCTCAGTCTTCTGCCCACGAAGGGGGAACACTCTCGGAGCGGAGATCGGTGATCTGTGACATATCTCCATTGAGACAACTTGTCAGAGATCCTGGCGCCCACCCAATGGGCCACTTAGGTCCTGATGGCAGAGGTGGGCGGAGTGAACGTCTCGCTCCTGGGCTAAGCCAGTCGGTAATCCTCCCTGGCGGTTTAATGTCCATGGAAGCAAAGATGAAGGCTCACAGTGGGCAAATCAAAGAAGAAGATTTTGAGCAGGCCAAGGCCTCAGCTAGCCTCAATAATAAGAAAACAGGAGACCATTGTCATCCTGCGGGCATCAAGCACGAGTCTTTCCGAGGCAATGCTAGCCCTGGAGCGGCGGTCTCTGATTCCGCTCCGGACTACATTCCCCAGCAGGACAGCCGAGCGCCGCCGATGAGACGAGCCGCTGGCAGAGCGGGAAGCAGCAGGGGTAAATCGCCTTCTCAATTTCACGATCTTGCAGATAAGCTGAAAATGTCTCCAGGCAGAAGCCGAGGCCCCGGAGCAGACCTGCACCACATGAACCCACACATGACGCTAGCAGAAAGAGTTAACAGGGGCTCCTTGCATTCTGCTTACTCCCAGAATTCAGAAGGCTCCTCTTTGGCGTATCACGCGAATGCCAGGCCTCACGCTTTTGGTGACCCTAACCAGGGTTTAAATTCCCAGTACCATTACAAGAGGCAGATATACCAGCAACAGCAAGAAGAATACAAAGATTGGGCCAGCAGCGCTGCTCAGGGTGTGATTGCTGCAGCTCAGCACAGACAGGAAGGGGCAAGGAAGAGCCCAAGGCAGCAGCAGTTTCTGGAAAGAGTGAGGAGCCCCTTGAAGAACGACAAGGACGGAATGATGTACCTTCAAGGCAGCTCCTACCATGATACTGGAAGCCAGGAAGCTGGCCGCTGCGTTATGGGGAGCGATGGTGCTCAGAGCAAATGCGCCGAACTGAAACACGGCCACCAGAAGATGCAGCATGAATCTGGTTGGGACCTCTCCCGGCAAACCTCTCCTGCCAAAAGCGGTGGCCCTCTTGGAGTAGGCAACCAGAAAAGGTTTTGCCCTCCGGACAGCGACGGACATAGACGAGAGGAATCTACAGACTTGCCCAAGCCTAGCAATGCCATGCTCAGGCTCCCTGGCCAGGAGGACCAGTCTCCTCAGAATCCGTTAATTATGAGGCGGAGAGTCCGCTCTTTCATCTCGCCCATCCCTACCAAAAGACAGCCGCAGGACATGAGGAACAGCGGCCCTGAAGATAGAGGGCGACTGATGGCTTCAGCGAAAGAAGCGACTGATAAAACCTACAACTCCTACGCCCATTCATCTCAGAGCCAAAATGTTGGCAAGCCAGTTGCAAAGGGAGATTCCTTCAAGGACCTGCCAAGTCCTGACAGTAGGAATTGCCCTGCTGTTTCCCTTACAAGCCCGGCTAAGACCAAAATACTGCCCCCACGAAAGGGGCGAGGATTAAAACTGGAAGCTATTGTTCAAAAAATTACCTCTCCCAACATTAGGAGAAGTGTTTCCACCAACAGTGCGGACACCGGTGCAGATACTGTCACTCTGGATGACATTCTGTCCCTTAAGAGCGGACCCGAAGGAGGAAGCGTGGCTGGGCACGGGCCAGAGGCTGAGAAAAGAAAAGGAGAGATGCTCTCAGATCAAGTAGGGCCAGCAAGCCAGGGCTTGGGCGGTGAAATAACCCTGCCCAGATCTTCAGAAGAGTGGCCAAGCAATGAGGATGAGAAAGCCAAGAAAGAAAGCCCTGAAACTGCCACCGTTAGTAAAGAAGGAGCAGGATCTGGAGGAGCACTGCCACCCTCTCAGAAGTCAGGTGGTCAGGGACGGTCTGATGGATCTGTAAGCGGGGCTGGAACCGTGACCTTTCCCGACTCCAAAACAGTCTCCCCTTCTGGTGCGTTTGCTTCTGAACCAAACCCAAAGCCTGAGGAGAAAGAGGGAGACGTGACAAACATTTCACCCAAGCCRGACGGTTTCCCTCCAAAGGGGTATTTTCCCTCTGGGAAGAAAAAGGGGAGGCCGATCGGGAGCGTTAACAAGCAGAAGAAGCAGCAGCAGCCGCAGCTGCCGCCGCCGCCGCCGGTGGCCGCGCAGTCGGCSGAGGGGCCGGTCGGAGGCGAGCCCAAGCCCAAGCGGCAGCGGAGGGAGAGGCGGAAACCTGCCGCGCAGCCGCGGAAGCGGAAGCCCAGGCGGGCCGCCCCCATCGTGGAGCCTCAAGAGCCAGAGATTAAGCTGAAATACGCTACACAGGCGGCCGATAAAACGGACACCAAGAATAAGTCCTTTTTCCCTTACATTCAYGTGGTGAACAAGTGCGAATTGGGCGCTGTGTGCACAATCATTAACGCGGAGGAAGAGGAGCAGAACAAACTGGCGAGGGGGCGGAAGGGACAGAGAGCTTCAACGCCCCCTCCTAGCAATGTGGAGAGCAAAGTGCTGCCCACCTCGACTTTCATGCTGCAGGGCCCCGTAGTCACAGAGTCTTCTGTCCTGGGGCATCTCGTGTGCTGCCTGTGTGGCAAGTGGGCCAGCTACCGTAACATGGGTGACCTCTTTGGTCCTTTCTACCCCCAGGATTACGCAGCCACCTTGCCCAAGAACCCGCCTCCAAAGAGGGCCACGGAAATGCAGAGCAAGGTCAAGGTACGGCACAAAAGTGCTTCTAATGGTTCCAAGACGGATACGGAAGAGGAGGAGGAACAGCAACAGCAGAAGGAACAACGAAGCCTCGCTGCTCATCCCCGCTTTAAGAGGCGGCACCGCTCCGAGGACTGTAGCGGAGCGGCTCGGTCGCTATCAAGGGGAGCTTCTTGTAAAAAAGCAACCGCTGAGGGTGGCAGCGGTGGTGAAAAGACTCCTTTGGACTCGAAACCCTCTATGCCCACTTCGGAAGGTGGCGCCGAGCTGGAGTTACAAATTCCTGAACTACCTCTTGACAGCAATGAATTTTGGGTCCACGAGGGTTGTATTCTCTGGGCCAATGGGATCTACCTGGTCTGTGGCAGGCTCTATGGGCTGCAGGAAGCTGTGGAAATCGCAAGAGAAATGGTGAGTACCCAAACTTCTGTGAAATGATGAAATCATTTGCAATGAATATGACCTTTTGAATACCTTCTTGTTGTTTTTTTTTTTTTTTTGCTTTGTCCTTCTCTCAAGTCTGAATCAAACATCTTTCATCTGTAAATGCATCTCTAGTGTTGCCCTTTTGACGGCCTAGTTTAGATCTCCGCTGCACCTGGGTGAGAGATTTTTCAGGCATCAAAGAGCTGAATGCTTATTACCTATTAAAATTAAGTTCTGTATGTCCAGCCCTTTCCTGTGACTAGGTGATATATTTTTTTGCCTCTGTATTCTGTCCTGGTAGATAATAATGCTCTTSAGATCTTTTCTTGGAATTATGCAGTGAAGGGACAAGGGGCAGCAGGTGCAAATTCCACCAAAAGGAATTCCGATTCAGTATTAGCACACAGCCCCTTCCCCCAAAAAAACAGGAGCGGGAGGGGTCAAACATCAGGAGTTGGGAGAAGCTGGAGAATATCCATCCTTGGAGGTGTTCACTACCTGACTKCGCAAGGCCTCGAGCAGCCCACTTRAGCTCTGAAGTTGGATCTRTTGTCACTGTTGGCCCTACTTTGAGCAGGGACTTAAGCCAGAGATCTCCAGAGGGCCCTTCCAACACAGGTTATTATTCTGTGCTGCTGATATGTATTCTACCATTTTTCGGAAAATTGGCCGTTCCTACAAAGCAGAGATTGAGTAGAAGGGCACAGAAGTCTTCTTAAGTCGTGAGTGAAACACAGGTGGCTTGGGCTGCATGGAAATGATCCTACAATTCGTTACTGATGACTGCCTTTCCAAAGTGTGGGGCTCTGCCTATAGGTTAGTGAGGAAGAGCATGTAAAATCCAAGTGTGTGTGTGCAGGGGACAACAGAAGATGATTTACAACCTCTGGATTATGGATGGAGGCATTAGTGATAATCAGAGATAAAAGTGGCTGTCTCAAAACCACAGCTTTGTGGCTTTATGGCTTTATCTGACCCACCAACAGGACACAGCGCCCCTGCATTTGCTCTTACCTTTCCCATTTGGCTTTCTGTCCTGGGCCGGAYCATAGAAGAGGGACTAGATGATGATTTTATTATTATTATTATTATTCTTTTTCCATGTTACTTTCAGATTCTTCTTTTTCTAAGCACTCCTAGGATTCAGTTTTTCTCTTCTCCTCCCCCTGCATTGTCACCTGCTCTGCGCTGGTTCCTCCCCAGAGCTTTCCTCAAGTTTGATTCCTGGCTTCTCATACACTCTTCTCTGACAATAATTACATGCTGCTCTGCCCTAACTTCGTTTGGCCTGCATGCTCATTTCCAGCTTGCCATTCAGCAAAGACAGGTGATCTCCTTGGTTTTTGCTGAGCACTGCTTGTGAGCTTGTTCTCCTCTGACTCCCGAATTTCCTCTCTCTGATAATACCAAGGTTTCTTTGAAGATCGTCACATCATTTGGGTCCCACTTGCAAGGTCACCATGCTTCCATGTGGTGCATAGTTCACCAGGAGTTTGAGCTCAGGTCTCTCCAACCTGTTTTTTTTAATTTTTTTTTTTTCCTTTTCTAGGGATATGTCAGACTTTCCACTTGTGATTTTTGTTTCTCCTGAAGCAGGCGTCTTCTCTGGCGGTTGTCGAGCCACTTCACCTCCCCTGCATGATATGTTATGTGCTTTTCTTCTTGCAGAGGGGTCCTGCCTTGCAGAAATACCGTGGCTGTGCTGACTGGCCCTAATCAGACTTTCTAAGTTGGCCCATTATCCACAACACTTTTTTTTTTTAAATATGGTACAAATGTGTTTTTTTTTTCTCTTTGGCATCTGTTTCTTTCTTTGCATGAGATTTTCATGACTTCCTGTTTTTTTCTGACAGAACACACTTCAGCCTGCCCTTTCTCATTTTCTTCCAGCAATTCYGATTATCTCCCATGTCCCAAACAGATTTTTTTCCTCCTCTTAATCCTTTCATCTACCCCTTTGACACCTCACAGTGATGTTTCCTTGTCTCCCTTGAACCCCTGTTCTTTCTCTCTACCCTTTCCTTTAATCATTTGTTCAACTTCTTTTTTTTTTTCCAACTTTCTTTTTTTTCTCCTCATAGCACACGTCGACATGAGTATTTCCCTTCTTTAAAGTGCACAGAAAGCCCGTGGCCTCTCTTACCTTTGCAACTACCTCTTCATTTCCTTTCTGCTTTTCTCATCTGAAGACACTCCGTGTGCGTTGTCTGGGGCTCCTGTCCTCCCCTCTGTCTCCGCTTGGCCTCTGATGCTCTTGTCATCGCTGTTTACTATGAGCTCTTCCTCGCTAAACTTCAGAGCCAGTGCTTCATTTTCCTTTTCCTGGCAGCTAAATTTGTCCCCATCAGCTGTGCTCCTCTACAAGTGCTGTTCCACCTGCTTCCCGTCTGTGTTCTTTTTTGGTTACCTCTTTTCTTTCTGATGATTTTTTTTCTGCCTTTTTCAGAGGCTGTTCCTCAATTGCAGCTTTTTGTGGGGCTTCTCTCAAGTTCTGCCCCTGCCTTGCTGCCCTGCGCCTCATGCCCTGTCTCTGGGTAGCTTTTGGTAACCCAGTCACTTCACTCCAGACACTCATAGAGCTGCTTTTGGGCTCCAGTTTCATGTTCATCTGTCACGAACTTAAAAATTATTCTTGATTTYGTGAGTTCTCAGGCTCTCATTTCAAACTTGGCTTTCAGTCTGCATCCTCCACACCCGTTCTCTGCCATTTTGTTCTGATTTTCTTGTCACTCAGATTCACAATCTTGTCATTTCACTTGAAAAGGGTTTCTAATTCTTCCTATGCAAAGCTATAAGAAAACCTGCATAGTCTTTGTTTGTGAGCACTGAAAGGCCATATATTGTATCTCATAACCGTTCTGTCTGGATCCATTTTATTTTTTTAAACTAGTTTTAMGACAGTAGAGGCAGGAACCATTTTTGTGAGCTTTGTGACTGCGTTTGTACAAGATGCAGCCTAACAGATGTCCTAACTGAACGCCGGGCTGTTGGGTGGCGTGTCAGAGCAGTCCACCTTTCTCCTTTACCCCCGTCACAAATCCCAGAACAGCTTCTTTCTCCTCGCAGCCTTTGGATTTTAACCTCCCATCCCGTCGTGGAGGAACCCGGCGCTGCGCTTTGCTGGGGAAGCAGCGCGTGCAGCTTGGGCTGGGAAGCACTGGCACCCACGGGATGCTCAGGGCGTCTCCTGCCCCGGGCCACGGAGAGGCTCCTTGGAACCAGCCCCCTTTGCCTTGAGGACAGCAGCCTCCAGGCTGGACAGCGGGGCTCCTAGCTTGCTGCCCGTGCTCTGTCCTTAGGTCCTCCTTGCTCCGCAGGTRCCTCTTCTCTCTTCCCTCCACGTGCAGTTCGTGGCTGCAGGCACCGGCGGGCACGGAGCTGCTCGCTGGCAGGAGAGAGGTGTCTGCCAGGCGCAGGAGAAYGGGCTTGGTGGTGGTCTGGGAAAGGGGAGACGTTAGTGTGGGGCAAACTGAGTGCCACRAGCCACGTAGGCAGTAATTGAGACAAGTAACACACTTTGTATGAATGGAATATTGCCTTACTTCAGAATTCACATAAATCGCTTAAAATGATTTTATTGGCTCTTACCACATGCCTCTTAGCTGACCCACCTTCATGTGTGGCATTTTGGAGTCAAAACCTTGAAGTGAAAAAATGTCTCTGTTTCCCTGGGTAACCCTGTTGCCCATAGAAAGCTCTTATTTATTTATTCATTCATTCATTTTTATTTTTGTAGGTTGTCAGATGCCATATTTTGGCTAAGTAAATAGGTCACAAATGATTGGAAGTTATTTACCTTATTGTACCTGGAACCTTAAGGCTGGAACTCCTGCAGTAGGCTTGAGAGTACCTGTGGAGACCTGGACCTCCATGGGGAAGACCTCGTTCATTCATGTCCTTCCTATGGGGGATTTTCATCTCTGTTTCATATCCATTAGTCACACTAGGCCATCTCTATATATTTATGACTTGGCAAACTAATAGTTGCACACACTCCACTGTACAGACCTTCAGGAAAACAATTTCCTGCCCTGATTATTTTCTTTTTTACGTTTTCCTACTGACAAGAAACTGTTGCAAGATGAAGTCTTGTTTACTGTTGAAAATGGCAAAATTTTTAAGGAACTTTAGCAACTCTCATTGGAATATGTTTCATTTTCAAAAGATCTGATTGTGTTTCAGCCTTCAGTTAAAAAGCTGTAAGTGGATCCAAAGAACAGTCTTTGTGTTACCTGTTAAACTGCAAAGTCCAAGGAGACAGAGCTGCACTGTTGGTTTCTAAAGCCACTCGCTGGAAGTGGTGGCTGCTGCTTGGAGCTCCTACACGACACAGGTTTTCCCAAGGCAGAAGCTCTGGTCCAGCACAGAGATTATTTCTGGTTTTTCTTTTTTGTTCCTATCGCTGTCAGAATTGACCTTGGTGAAGTTAAATCCAGCTCCTTTTTCTGCTGACAGTGCCCTGTGAAAGGAAAACTTAGTTATCCCCCAATAAAGATCCCATTTAAAAGGTCTCAGGAGCGTCATGCTTCAGGCCTCCCTGCTTCAGTCCCAGCCCAAGAAATCTTGTAATCCTTAGGAAATCCTTGGAAGCTGTTTCCTGTGCTGCTCTGTAGCAAGAGCCTCATCCGTTGTTTCAGTCAGGAGGACTTCAAGCAGCAAAGGATAAACCTGGCTGCGATCTGCTGTGCAGTGGCAGGTGGTTCTGGACCTTGTCCCGCTGATTTGGAGTTCTGCTGCCTGTGCCTCTCTCCGTGGATCATCTTTGCAGGCCTGTTGCTGTCTCGAAGAGAAGTCTGTGTCCTTTAGGACAGCTGATGTATTCAGCAAGCCGCTTAGAATGGCCTGGCTGTGGTTTTTAAGAGCTTTCTCCAAAGTCATACAGGCTGAGAGAAGTTCAGAGCCTAAATGTGTGCCTTTCCCTTTGCAAATTKATGCTTGGATCTTTGAATTTTTCATTACTCTTGGCAGGGGCAGCCTCCTGGCTC